GTACATAATAAGACCATTTGAGAAGAATACCACTCTTATATAAGGCAAATGATGATCCAATAAAATCTTGGCTACAAAAGAAAATGGCAGATTCTCCTTTTTTCTGAATTGGAAAGTACGTATTTCTTTTGTATATGCAATTTCGTAAGATTATTATTCTTTACCTTTTTTTTTTAAGAGAAAATCTTCGTAAGATTTATTATTCAAAATGGGTTAAATGCATGAAACTTGTTGGAAAAACAAAAAACTCTTTCTTAAAGCTGAACCCATATCTCTATAATAAAGATATGTAGAAAAACATTTAGATATTTTTGCAGAATAACCTCGGGATGAGGTAGAGTAACCAACCAAAATTCAAATGTCAAAAAATTTATAAATAAAACATTATAGAAAATTCATTTATTGAACAAAAACCGCATAAATAATCTTTCAAACTAGTTTGTACTAACACTTTAAACCTTAACGGAAACATTGTGCCATAATTTGAGTTCAAATACGGTTAAACTATGTCGTTGGTAAAAAAATGTTTAGTTTTAAATATACTACATGATTTTTAATTTATCTTCTTTTAGAATGAATTTGTGTGATGATTATTTTTCAACGTATAAAAAGTATAGAAACTGAATATTTTTTATTTTTTTGATAAATTGTGAAAATTTTAAACTTTTGAAACAAAATCTTCTCCAATATCTACGAAGTCAATTTTTAGATGTTCCGATTAAAAAATAACTTTTTCTCTAAGAAAATTTCAATTCATGACATAAAATAACCAACACGCTTGCGTTATCTCTAGACCTCTTTGATAAACCCGGAACTAGACGATCATTTGATAAATAGTACATACAAAAATAATATTTAATCATTCATCATTTTTAACCCTTGTTTTACTTTTCTCTAGTGCAATGGAATGTTTGTTTTGTCCGTTCTCAACCTTTTTGGCGTGACCTCTTCATAGAATGTTTAAGGTTGCATAGAGATGAGCATGATTTGAACCCACTTCTGAATTATGGAAGAGATTGTCTTCTACACTATATCTGTGGAGCAAACTAGGTGAACATCGTTATAATATTATAACATCTTTTTAATTTCATGTTTTCAAATTTCAACCCAGAAAATATAAACTGAACAAAATTGGAAACGATTTTTTTATATTTTTTAATAAAGAGAGTAGAATTACGAACCCATCCATTTCTCATTACGTTAAAAAGCTGGAGCTCGACATCATAATGGTCGTCACAAAATAGTTTATGATGTGAATGGGTTTCAAAGAAACTCAATCAAAGCAAATTAAAAGCCTAAAAAACCCCAAGCATGGGAGCGTGATATTGAGTTGGTGTAAAGATGTTCAATACCTACCACATTCTCCATCTTCAAGCTCCTCTTCCTTTGTTTGCTCACTCTCTTCCTCTTTTCTACGCCGCTTTCCCCTGCCTTCATCCTCTGCTTCGGGCACTAATCCTCGCTGCAATTCCAGAAAACTTTTGAGTTTAAAAAGCTTGACATAAACCATATGGAGCTAAACCGCTTTTGTCTTGTGGAGCTAAGTTCAAGAGATAGACGAAGTGACAAAGTGAAGAAGTGTACCTGTTGTCTAGATTTCTTATGGCCACCACCAGCTTTATGGGATTCTTTGAAATGGTCTGTCTCATTTTCCTTCAAACTAGTATGTCTTTCTCGATGTCTATTATGGCTATCTCTTCCTGTTCTTCTACGTTCTTTTCCATGGGGTTCATTCATATCATGGTTGTAATTATCAGTTGCACCTTTCTTATGATGATC